GCTGGAGTTCCCAGAAATAACTTCATGTCTTAAAGGAATAGTATGGTATGAGTATGAGTAGGTATGAGTTAAATGAGAAGATTGCTACCACTGTTGTATCTGTCCATGAAATATGAAGCTACAGCCAGGAGACAGTTAACTTAGTGCATCACAAAGAGAGGGAGCAGCTACAGAAAAAGTCTGGCACATCACCCTCAGAGTCAACAAACAGAGCTTTGGGGGTGCTGATAGGAAGATTTGGTTACCTTTGGACAGAGCCAGGTGAGCTGATCCCCCGTTGGACAGAGCCAGGTGATATATGCTAAGCTAAGCTAATCAGCTGCTGGCTCTAGTTTCGTATTTGACATACTGTCATGAAAGCAGCACTGATCTGGTCATTTAACTTTTGACAAGAAATAAATAGGCATATTTCCCAAAATGTTAATCTTGCTGTTGTGCACTGGCCTAGCATTACTTTCATGCTAATTTCACAATCTCAATTACAGCTCAGTAATTGTGTTGTGTTGCCTGGGCACTGATTCATTCATCCTTCTCTCTGAGACTCTTATTAGAGCCTGTTACTGACTTCCTGCAATCATCAGAGAGCCGCTCCACAGTGACTCACTGCGTTTATGATTAAGCCTCTTTCTGTCATATCCACTGATCCAACCATCCACCCATCAGTCAGCACATCTCCAGACAAGAGGACTGCCTCTCACCACAGCAGCATATCTTCTGAGGGTCTAAAGAGCAAGTGACACAATACCGTCTCTTGTCCTTTCTCTTCTGGCTTCTCATCTTTTCCAGCACCTCTCCTTCTTCCACTAAGATTCCTTTTCTTCCTTAACTCTGTCTACATTGTAATGAACTCATTAGCATGACTCTGTATTACAGAGCAGTGTTCCTGAAGGATTATAGCCTAAACACTCTCTGTCTCTCATCACTGTCACTTATCCACTGCATCCGTCTCCACAGTGACAGAGAAAGTGATAGGTACACCTCCTCTTTGTAGAGAGCTGTGTGCACAGTGGACTGGTGCAGATCTAATTTCACTTGTGCCAAGACAGCAGGAACGGTGTTAACTTGAACATCATTCAATTCTGAATCATCATCATCAATCAACTTAGAATTTTGTTGAATTAATGATTGTCTACTATTATCATTAACAGCTGGAGTTTACTTACAACCACAGGTTATTTCTACATATCTTATTTCCAAAGCCAGTCGTCTTTGTCCAAGAGTTTTTCTGGAAGACCAAGGGACTACCTGTATGATGTACAGTGTATGTGTATTTAAATGCAGCTGGCCTATTGCACTGCACTGTAACAAGAGTTGTAAGTAAAAACTCATAATGGTTGAACAAGGGTGCCATCTTCTACAGGCTTATCAGTGCTACCACCTTAACATGCAGAAGATTTAAAATGTCAGACTTTACTTGAAGATTTTTAATGAATTAAAACAAATTATGTAAGTGTTTTAAAAGCACCTTTGTTGACCAAAGTGCTCTACATCGTTTAAGAGTCGCCCCTGAGCCACTCACCTTAGCTGGACCTAAATGGTGGTCAGGTTCTGAGGTTTGCCCTGGTTAATGCCAGATCGGTGACAAACAAAACCTTCACCTTACATGACTTCTTTGTTTCTCATTGCCTCGACTTTTTGTGTATCACTGAAACCTGGCTAAACTCCTCCGAATCATATATACCCACAGAGATTGCACCCCAGGACTGCACCTTGTTTATCTAATCAATGATCAGTCGATGAGGTGCTGGAACAGTGGCAATTTTTAAAAAACCCTTAGTGCATTGTTTTATTAGCTTGGAACTCAATGCCTGGGAACGGTTATCACCTAATCCAATTGAGTGTGCTGTGATTTATTTACTGCCTGACTTGATGGAATATGACAAGGTCCTAATTGTTGGTGACTTTAATATTCACATTTGTTGTCAGACTCAGCCTTTGGTTAAAGATTGTTTTAATCTTATTGATGCTTTTGACCTGGTACTCTTTTGACTTGCAGGACCTACACATGAACATGGCTGTACTCAGAACAAATTAATGTAAAGAAAGAAAAAGTGAAATAACAGTAAATGCACTCATTAAATGAAAATATGAGTGTTGTATTTCATTTTATTTTTTTGTTTGATTTGAGACCTTCCTTGCAATTTCACTGTGACTTTAATGCAGCACTGGGGAACTCCGCAAGTCTGTGGCCCCAGACGGCAGAAAGCCTTAGGCAATTCTTGAATACGGAAGACTTCAATACCCAGAAGTCATGTACCATGACATTAGAAGACTGAGTTTCTTCTTTGTAGTGTCTAGCTGATGCACAGGGAGTGAAGAGGTTCAGCTGACACTGATGAATCTGGGCAGAACAGTTTTGGATTGGACTTTGCATTTACATTTAATTGCATCACTTCCTTTGAATGGACAAATATTCTAGTTTGTGAAAACTGTGGCACCCAAACAGTGGGCACTTATGAGTAGGAATGTCTCTCTGAGGTACACTAATATAGTATGCATGGTCATCTGTTAATAAACATTGTGTCTTTAAACTCTCTATTTGTGGGGTGCAGTGTAGTGGATGGACATTGTAAGTGTCATTAACTAGATTTCCATCTTTTTGCACTAGTACTTGCATGAAGGGTCATGTCAGTCACACTAGTTAAAACACACAACACCACATACAAAGAAGTAGCATACATGCTTTTTTTAAAAGGCTCATACACCTGCCACATTATGATATTGCATATTTTCTGCTGAATGTAAACTCACATGCATACACAGAGCTATCAGCTGTGGGAGACTGATCAAACATCGCTCTCGTGTACCTTTCTTCTATGCTGGGTATCATTTCAGCAGAAAGAGACTGGCAGACAAAGACACCTCCTGTCTAGAGGAGAGGTGCAAAGGTTAGAGATGAGAGAACAGAAGGAAACACCAGGGGAGAAGCTATTTGAGGGGGATTGATGGGGAAGACAAAGGGATAAAATAGAAAAAATAACAGTCACCCTGCTTTAAGTGTGTGTCTGTGTGTCACTCTCCCGCTGTATTCTTCTTCTTTTATACTTTATGCCTTTTGTGGATGGGCATAAGTAAAAGAGATGTACCCTCTTGCTTGATAATCAACATGATCCAGTTTGTCTTTTCTCACCAAAAGATGCCATTTATTTGAGAAAACCCTTAATTACAGTAAACATAAATTAAGCACAGCCAGCCACAGAGCATTAACACCGTCTCTGCCAAATGTGTACAGTACATCAAGTCATTTTAGATAGATAGATAGATAGATAGAAAGAAAGAAATATTTTATTATTCCCCAACCTATTTGGTCACCATTTACACAATAATAGACTAAGTCATTGAGCAGAAACACAAAACAAAAAGTGGAAATTACCAATAAACAGAAAACCACATTAATTTTACTTTTGTTCCTGTGAGCAGCAGAGCTGTTCTGGCTCTCTGCTGCCACGCTCTGGCCATAAATAAACACTGCATTTTACTTTGCCAAGAGTCCCTCAGTGGTTAATTTCAGACCACCCCAGATAACTCAACCTAGCCTTCTTATGTTACTACTTTACTGCCTTGGATTGGTTCACAAGTTATTAGAGATTTCACTTTGCCGTAATGAGCTGAACCCAAGCAAAACCCATCCATCCATCCATCTTCGAAACCGCTTAGTCCCAAACAAGGTCACAGAGCCAATCCCAGCCAACTGCGGGCGAGAGGCGGGGTACACCCTGGACCTGTTGCCAGTTCATCGCAGGGCTAACACACAGACAAACAACCACTCACACACAATCACTCCTATGGGCAATTTAGAGACACCAATCAACCTATGCTGCATGTCTTTGGACTGCGGGAGGAAGCCGGAGCATCCGGAGAGAACCCACGCACGCACAGGGAGAACATGCAAACTCCACACAGGAAGGACCCGGGTCGGCCGGGGCCTGAACCCGGAACCTTCTCGCTGAGAGGCAACAGCGCTAGCCACCATGCCACTGTGCTGTTTCTCCTGTCATTGACGAATAATGTACTGTACTAGTGCTAAAGAAGAACATTGCATCAGGAAGGAGATAGTAATATCACACCTTGTCTTTTCTTGAATGCTGTCTGAGAAGCCACCAATTTCTACTGTACCTGTAGAAAGGAGGGAAAACACATGGGTTAATATTGTGACATTGTAGACCAAAGATATTTCAGGTTTTGCCTTTTGTCTTTGCATTTTTGACTGCGCTATGTATTTAAGCCCCAACAAAGATCTTTTTTCCCTTTTGTTCTCATATCATTGCCACATAATGTCCCAGATAATTCCCTCAGATCAAGTCTTTAAGAGATGACAGACTGAAGGTTGTTATAATGCTGTGTGTATATACCCAGCAGAGTATATGTGAATGCATGTCTACAGACATGCAGATTGACAAATACAATTATTAGAGTAGCATGATAAAAACAGCTTGTGTCAGTTGACATTCTGGAATGTGTTTCTGCTTGGCTGGTGACAAACATAAAGTCAGAAGTTGTGTACTGTAGAATTATGAAGACTTAACCTCCACAAGTGCCTGCCTGCATGGATACGCTCCCGAGTCTGGTTGGTTTGAAAAGCTTTGGGAAAGAATGTTATGATGGTAAATGTGCTTTCCTTCTAAACAAAACTGTTGAAAACATTCTACCAAACATTTTGTTTTCTATATTCTTATGTGTTATGTACCTCAGACTCAATTTGTTTATGATATTCCTGTAGAAAATTGGGTTTGGACATGGATGGTTTTGTTAGACGTACTCACCACAATTCATTATTAGTCATTGTGATGAGAACTGTATATGGTCTAACCATAATTTATTTAAACATGTGTGGCTGTTTTATTGAAAGCTGTGGCTGAATGTCAAGTTTTGTCAAGTTTTCAGTGCTGGTATAAATACAGATTCCTCACAGCTTGCAGTAGGTATTGATGAAAACCTGGTTGGTTTTGCAGAAGTCTCACACTGACAGTTTTCCTTTCACTCCACCCGTCTCTATCCAGGCATACTGGCTCAGATGCAGATGCCCCAAACGAGTATGGATGCGATCAAGGATCAGATGGTGGTGCTGAAGGCCTCGTACATCCCAGCCCCAGGCAGTGACCTGAGCACCAATACTGTTCTGTGGAACTTTGTCTCCAACAACAGCCAGCTGGTAAGGAAGTGAAGGGGCAGAACTACGCACATTCATAAACCCTCCGCAGAAATGAGATACATCAGTCTGTATCTACAGCCCAGAAGTAAAATCTTTGTAAAATATAAAATCTGTGGCTGTAGTATCTGAGATTACAGTTATGAAGGACGTTTGTTTGTTTATACCTGTTAGTCTGGCACAAACCTTTCAAAATTATTCCAAGAATAAAAGGCTTAAAGCTTTCTTAGAAGCGCTGTATTATTTCTTTACTGCTTTAACACATCATATTATAACAACTGTTTTTTTTTCATTAGGAAATTAGGGCTAAGATAGCTATCTATGTTTTACCACATCAGATTATTTATTGAATCATTTTTGCATTAAATGAAGCAACCCAACCCTGTCTTATCCGTTACCTGGAGAACTGGCTGTGGCTCATCTTATGTGTCCACCTCAGGCAGATTACTGGGCTATACAGATGGACAACCCAAAAGAGGATCACAGAAAGAAAATGGGAAACTGGAAAAGAGTTGATTAAAAGCGAGGCTTTCTTCAAGTACCTGGACAGCCATCTAGTGTCATTTGTAGCCAAAAAGATGAATACAAAGAACAGAATACCAACAAAACAAAGGAAAATCTCGTTACCACAACTCTCTCCCACCATCTCTTTACAGGATACAGCCTGATCTGGCTACAACCCTGGTGTGGTTCTCAGGACTACACTCAGTGAGAGAGTAATAGGATACATTGCCTGTCAAACAAAACATCCTGTTTTCCGGAGTTTTATTGCTTTATTATTTTACATGGAATCTTCTTTCATCTTTCAAGGACAGCGCAACACCCCCAGACTAAGTTAGCCACTATAATTTATGACAAACATGTGACTTAGGTGATTAACCCAACCTCGCGTGGGCGCGCCCATTTATAAGGGAGGCGGAGCTACAGTGAACATGTATGGGAGAGGCAGAAGCTAGAGTGCAGTGGCGTTGTTTAGAGCACTGCAGCCCTCACTTGAAGCCTGAAGGACCATGGACCTGAAGGAACCGCTGATAGCGAAGAGTGAGGAAGAGTTTGCCTCGCCAGCATACGGTCTGCAGACCACCGAAATGACTTTGAGTTGCTACCCGCCATCCCTGGACACTCCGACCGCTGTGGTGGCCAGTGAGAGGTGGACATTGGAATAAAGCCTGACTCTGCTGAGGTAGAGCGCACAGACGAAGTGGAGGGTTTATGTGCTTCGAATTATTAAGCTGACTTTGGTAGAGATCCTTAAATTGGTGGTGACATCTCACTTATGGCGCTGAACTATCTAAACACACCTGTTCAGATCCTCTCCCTAAATGGTATTTTAATGTCTCTTTCCATGCCCTTGTATGAAGACCGTGGGTCCCCAAGTCTATACCCACAGTTCTGGAAATCCTGACACTGGAAAGTTTTGACCCACACCCTAACCGTGTTTGTGGAGCTGTGCAGGCCTACCTTCATGAATTAATGGAGACAGAGCAGATTTATGCCAGTTTGAATCACCTGGAAGACACTGTGCGTGAGGTCAGGAGGCATAAAGTACTGTCTGAAGCCAAAACACACTGGATGAAGAAATGGGCAGCTGTGAAAGCACCTTCGGTAAATCTGTGTGCTTGTACATGCTCAAACAAAGAGTTCACAGCATTTTGAATAATACTGGCAGATGCCAAGTTTCAGGAAAACATCAGTTTGAATGAGGCTTTGGGTCTGGTGAGAAATGCTCTGTCTGAACGTTTTGTAGCAGAACAATACCCAGTGATATCTTCCTGTTTCAACTGTGCACAGAGAGATTCATGTTTCACATTCACTGATTTAATTTGTGTTTTATCTGTGACAAAAGATGTGAGTGTTTCTAAACTTGCTTGAGGTGAAAATGCAAAGATGCTTTCCATCTAGTGCTGAATTTTCAGATTTCTCGTTTTGCTGTGCTGGTGTTGCAAAGACGGTGTATTCATGATTTGTTTCTGAACAAATATTTTGGAGCAATAAAATTCATTTGAATCAAAAAGTATGTGTCTGCCTTTTGTGAAAATAAAATGCTGTGTCTAGGGAAAATCAACTTAGTGTCTATCATCATGGCTGAGGTTAAACATGCGCTTCATGACATTTATTATAAACTACATCATCCTGGTTGACGTTGACCAATTAAATCATGCTTTTGAAGAGAAGATAGGGGAAAAGTTAAAAACAGAAGATGTGATAGGTTGACTGAACAAGATGCTTACACATTACACAAACATACATGGTGCCATTTTATGAGAAACTGAATCATTGTAAGCGGGGCTATGCGTCAAATTGATTTGTGCAACCACAGGGTCTGATTTGAAAGCATCTGTTGTGTTTTACAGAATGCTGAAAACCTAGATGTACAGCTATTTTACAGTCATTATGCAATTTTCCTCCGGCTGTATTATTACTAGTGTATTATTTTAAAAACAATGAAACGTTTATAAAGTTACATGTGAGCCCCTCGTGGACTTCACACACTGGATGCAGCTGTGAGTAAACGTGTTTGTCCACCCGAAGGACAAAACACCCAGACATAAACAGAGTGATGTGGTGTATGCAATTAAGTGTAGTCAGGAGTGTAACGACTTGTACATTGGTGAAACTAAGCAGCCGCTTCACAAACGCATGGCCCAACACAGGAGGGCCAACTCCAGTGGACCAGAGTCAGCAGTCCACCTCCACCTGAAGGACAAAGGGCATTCTTTTGAGGACAGTGAAGTCCAGATCCTCTCCAGAGAACATCGCTGGTTTGAGAGAGGAGTTAAGGAAGCTATTTTTGTAAAAATAAAACACCCCTCACTAAATAGGGGTGGTGGACTAAGACACAACTTGTCATCCATCTACAATCCTGTTTTGAGATCTCTGCCCAAACATGCCCACCAGGACAATAGGCGTCGGTCGACAGGGGAGGATTCAAAGACAGGTGACGACTCTCACCAATACTGGGCTGTAATGACTCAGTTGTTAAGGGACATTGTTGGCCTTCAAAGGACTGAAACCACACCGAGGGGGATAAATATCTCTGGCTCAACACCAGTCAGTCAGAACTGATGAAGCCTCTTGGATGAGAGGTGAAACGTCTTCGACCTAGAAATCTAGTGCAGTTGATTTTTTCTAAGTTTCTTCAGCAGTGAGTAGATTATGCTAAATAAGCTCTGCTGGTTACAGGATCAGAGACTTTCTATCTTGTGTGCACAGAAGCTGGTCAGTGATATTAGCAGACTACTGAGTGAACATTCATGAGCAGTATTTCTACAGTAGACAGTTTTTTCATTGTCAGTTTCGGGATGGAGTTCATAATTGGCAGGAGAAGATACAGTCTACAGTCCTCTCATACAGTTCCTTGTCCTGACATCGGTGACATCAGCCAGTCAGGTTTCCACCCTGCTATTTAAAGGAGATGAGAGGAGTTGGTTTGATTGGACAGAAGTAAAGACAGCCCTGACTCCACATGCTCACAATGTATTCCTCATTCTAATAACGTCTTCTGCCTCTCTTCCACAACAGTGCACTGTGTCTGTGCTCACCAAAACTTAAAAACATTGTTGAACACAGTAACAGCCCTGGCTGGAGGCATTATGTTTCAAGGTTGCCCGTCCTTCCCATTCTCATGAAAGCAGTATCTCAGGAACTTCTCAAGGGAATTTCAGCAAATTTGGCACAAAGGATTAGATTTTGGTGGTCATAGGTCAAAGGTCAAGGTCACGGTGAACTCATGTCAGTCCCATTTGTGTGAATTTGACTGGTTGCTGTAGGCATACAATGACGAAGCAGTGATTCTAGTTAGTTTTTGTTTTTGTGAAGATATGATGTATAAGTTGTACATCTGATGTGATTTCAATTTGTGGTTGATTGGTAACTATTGCAGTGTGTATTACAGTAAATACTTAAAAAAAAACAGAAGTAGCCTACAAAATTTCATTTGTAGGCTACTTCTGTTTTCATTTAGATTTATTTTCTGCCTGAAAACGTCTGATCTAGACCCACAGAAGTGGCACACTGTCACATCACGTCTTTCTAAAATCATAGTAATGCGGTTCTTTAAAACCCCAGTGGGTGAATTTTATGAGCAAACTTTACCAGTGTACAACTTCTGTGCCATGTAACTCAACTGACTCTATAATGCTTTGCACCAAATGTTTGAGAAATTAAACAAGTGTCAGTTTCCTGGACATGAGATGTTAGGACTAAAAATCCCTCTGAATTGTTAGGTTATTTCCTAGTTAGATAGATATTCAGAGATTTGTTGTCTAGAAATGTTAGTGGACAGATTGACTAGCTCAGGCTGTTAACTGTGCTTGCAGTGCAGACTGCAGGCAGGTCAAGGTTACAGGCAAAGAGCTGTTAGTGTCAACTGTAATGCTAGTCTTAATATTTGTCTTAATGTGTAAGGTTATGTCCAATTGTTTTAGATACACACCACGAAAACAACAGTCACAC